AAAGGTAAACACAGGTACTGAGAAAACAGTAAAGGTAGGAGGAAAGAGATGCCTTCCGTGTTCTGAAACTTACAGGTGCAACACGTCGTAGACGCTACGAAAGTGACGCCTCAAGTCGAAGCCAAGCAGACGAGAATCATGACGGACCAAGAGTACTGTAGGATGCCATAACGAAGGACAAAGTGGACTATTTGAAGTACCTCCGAACTGTGCTGAGTAACGACTTCGACAATTCATCTTCAGGTTAGTTTATCCTCAGTTTATCCTCAGTTTATCCAATATCCAATAGTTTATCCTCAATTATCCTCAGTTTATCCTCAGGTTAGTCGGTCGGTGCATTGAAGTGGCACCATCGAGTTACGGCAAGCAAGTTGCATGCGGCACAACACACGGAAACATCAGACCATAGACACCGAGGAGGAAGATTGAAGATCACAATTCCGAAAGCAGGCGTGTTAGCGGTGCTGATGCACGGTCTCGAAACGTCTGTCGTCATGAAGCGTCACGAAGCTCGTTCAGACTTCAACCAACGACGCTGTCTACGCAGCGTCCTCAGAGTACAATGGCACCTGTGGGTAATGAACAGCAGGTGCTGATGACTGACGATCTGACAAGCGATCTGTCAGAGAAGCTCAGTCATCGATGCACAGTTATTTCAATACACCTGATGGTAGACAGTTTATTGCGAACGCGTTCCACTACATGAATCGTAGCGTCATCGGGGCTGGACTGACCACGAATGACTGCTTGATGGCATTTATGTCCAACAAACGAACAATGCCTATTTCCCAACTGCTCATCACATGCAGTGATAACGTTGATAAGCTGTCTGGATAAAATACATTGTTCACACCACAGTAAACCGAACGTTTGTCGTTTCGACCCGGGTTTACGTATCTTTTCTGTGACCGCACCCCAGCTTTCACCGATGATTAAAAAACAAGTTTATTCGATGAAAATCCGGTTTTTCATTGCCAGCATATGCAAGGACTCCTTAATCAGCAGACGTAATTTAGATTGGTCTCTGACTGGAAGAATGACCTACAGTAATCCCATGACGGGCAATACCGGAATTGTTAGCCTCTCCAAGGTGGACCGCAGCAGGCGCTCTTTTAGGCGGATGTTGAATTTCCGGTTGGTCTTTCCGATGCAACAAAGTTGGCTGGTTGGAACGACCGGCCAAAAATTGAGCCTCTCTATCAAGCTGGGGGGGTCACAAAACTGATGCGAAAATCCGGGTCAAGATCACAAAGATCCGATCTATTTTCATACGGTCATTATACTTTGTTCAGTCAATGTAACAACGTCTCGGTTGTGTGTAATGAGCCAATTGAAAAACTGGCATCGCTCGATCGTTGGACATAAACACCTTCAAGCAGTCATTTGTATTCCTTCCGGGCCTTTTGATGCCACGGCCCATGTAGCGAAACACGTTGATGTTAAATTGCTTAACATGTAGTGTATTTTGAGCCCCAAACCATGAATCATTCAAACAGGTATGTATATGACTACGGACCCGGAATCAAAAGCCTGAAAAAATATTTATTCGAACCCACAGATCGGTATCTGACTTAATTTAATAGTGTTGTCAGAGAAGCAAATAAAAATATATTAAAACTTATCTCGTTCGGCAACTATCCAACGACTGCGGGCGCGTGGTAGGGCAATATAAAACGTGGAAACATCTCGACGAGGCATACTGTCATTGTGAAGTACGATTTATAACGGTCAAATATGAATCTGGATAACTCTGCTGCTCAAACCGTGTTGACGTCAGATGACGATGTCGGAAATCAACAACAACAACAATAATAACAACAACAACTCGCCCCCTGAATAATGCAATTTGCTCTGGTGGATAAAATCGCAACATTCAATTTCGAAACACAGTTGCTGGAATTCCGTTCATCAGTCAACAAGGCAATGGCGTTGAAACTCTTTCCGTGTGACTGCGTAAGCCTGAGCAAAAACTTACTCGTTTCCTCTGTTCGCTGCTGTTTCCTCAATGCCTGTGTTTGCTTTGGATACACAACAGCCGATCGCGGCGAACAGCTTCTTCTGATGCTCATACGTTCGTGCCTTTGTTGGCAACGAAGTCGCAATGGATTTGCGTAACTAAGTCCAGTTCATTGATACTCATAGCGACTGTCTGCTATGCCGACACCTGCTGGACAAAAATTACAATTATGCTAACGCCATAACGTTATGCATGGTTAAGCAGAACATATGATGATTTTCATAATATCATAGGTATCATATTCTAGATGCTTCACTTCGCTAGAAA